AGTCTTAGTGAAGATTAGTGAAGAGTAAGTCCATTAGTCACAGTGTAACAGGATCTAGAGGCTTGACTTGCAGACACCTGGATGAAGCTTACTTTCTCTGCCTTCATTTTTATGTCTCTACTTTACTACCTTAAAACTTGGGTCAGTCTCTGTTCAGCTCTGCCCTGCCACGTTAACCACTTAAGGAGTATCTGCTTAAACACTATAATACAAGGTGCCTTATCCCCAAATCTACTTACCTATCTCCTCCCCTTCAAGACTGAAAGAGTAACTGAGGCATCTTCAAGATTTACAGGGATGCCAATGTCCAAATTTGAACCCAAATAGTCATTTTATTCAGGAAAATTTGTATTTTGAGAAATCTGTCATTTAAAATACAATGTTCTGAACTTTTTATTACAGTGTTTTTTCTAAAATTAAGAAGACATATAGTATATTGACCTTTCCACATAATTTCAAATTACCCAGTTATAAAAGTGACATCAAGAAAACAGAATGGAATAAATATTACAAAAACAGTAAGATTTAAAATACAAATTCCCCATAAAACATATAGTGTGGTTCATAACTGATGGACCACCGAAACAACTAAAATCTCCTTAAACCTAAAACTGAAGTCCTTTAAAACTAAAGTCTCCTTAAACCCTTCCTCTAATGCCAAATCAACTGGTGTCCTCTTGGATATATGAAGAAACTATTTTTAGGGCAAACTACATTTGATCAAGTTGATCTTGACTTTTACATAGTATTTTATATAAATCAAAATATTTATTTGAGGTATTATTATTACCATTTTAGTTCTTCTATTATCCTTACGGGTGAATAGCAATGTTAATGCATTAATTCACTTCAATGTCCTAAATTTATAAAACCTTCTAACAGAAAAATCAAGGAGCTTATATTGTAAATTTTGTTCTTAAATTTAACCCAACTAAAACAAAAATAATCTTTATTTTTCATTACAAACTAAGTAGGTTTCAACCAGCAATTATACACTGCATTATCATTTAAAAGTAAAAGGCAAGCTGGGTGCGGTGGTGCACACCTGTGATCCCAGCACTCTGGGAGGCTGAGACAGGCGACTTGGAGCCCAGCATGGGCAATGCAGGAACAAAGCGAGGTCCTCTCTCAGAACTATAACTGAAGAGGAAGTGGAGTTAGGAAATGTAGCTCAGTGAGGAGATCCTTGGCTCCCCAGAATTGTTAAAAAAAAAAAAAGTTAGGAACTCTGTATAGAAGCCTGAAAGTGTTTCATTAAGTACTGTCTCTTAAGAGTTATGGTGTAATGAAGGACTGTCTGTGTAACTTCCTTTTTGAGGATAAAACCTGCCTAACAAAGAAGTTTATCTCTCAGATACGTTAGGAACATACTTTATTCAGTAGGGACTGACTGAAGTGGCTTAGGACCCTCAACTTCCAGCTCAGGTGCTAGTGCTTGAAGGCACACAGGAAGCCCACACACCTAGTTTATAAGTGGTCTCATGTAAACCTCATCCATCTTAGCGTGGCCTAACACCTACTTGGGCATGAAACAGTTCTACAAAGCCAGAGTTTCCTCAAAGTTAGAAGGGTTAACTCTGTTTATTATATTCTTCCCTACTCTTGATGTTTCTATCTGTGACACTGAGAAGATCAACAGCTACGATGTTCCAGCTTTCATAAATCCCTGAGGAGTGAAGCAACACCCGCTTCGCAAATTAGTGGAAAAGCCTGGGAATATTCTGCTCAGTTCTGTGACTCTTATTTGTAAGGGATTATAGGCATCATGGCATAATGCCTGTCCCTCCAGGGTCAGCCAGACCTTGTTAGCCCTGCCTATGACTATGGTTAAAACTACTAAACTGCAGGTGTAGTCAGTAGATCCCCAGGCCTTCATGTTGTAATTTAACAGTAATAACAGTTCTACTTTGGTCCTCTGCCACTGCCTGGCTTCAATTCATATGCTTAAATAGAAAAACGAAGAGAGGTCACTAACTGGGGATTCTCTTAAGTGACTGATATTAAACTACTGATCAACACTAGTTAGTAGTACTAAGATAAAAAGAAATTCTCAGAAAGGCTAAATTTAAAAAATAGCATGTTATTGAATTATCATGTTGCATGCCTTCATTTTATTAAAACTATCCTCCCAGTATCACAGAAGTCACAATATTCTTTAGTTCACACCCAGATATGTGTACATAAGTTATTTAGTCATGTATGGGTCCACATTTTATAACTATAAAATATAACATGACTGTATTACTACTATAATGGTTAAACATATTACCACCTTATAGGTTTTTTTTGGTCTACCTGAATTTTATGTGGTATTTGAAAATATCAAAATTTCTTAAGAGTTTTTAAAGTTATTTTTTGGTAGTGTGTGTTCTTCGCACAAAGATATCTGATAATAAACTCATTGTATCACAAGCACTGCAAAATGAAAATTTTGAAACATATATCACAATTGTTGAATTCTTAAAAACACAGAAGTTTAGAATAACTAAGAACAAGTGCCTTCGCTATAAGTCAGGAAGAAAACAATACTTAGAAGTTATAGCTCCTGGACTACAATTTAGAAAGACTGATAAGATTCTTCATTACAAAATAAATAATGTTCAGTCAGTTAGATTTAAGTCTTCTATCAGTCACTTTTGGGAGCAATTCTCTAAAATTGAACCCTAGACATTATTGAGATAATCAGTTATGTGATAGCCTTTACTTGCTCATAATTAAAGGAATCAACTATGGAAGAGGTCAAAACTGATGAAACCTAAACTGCTTTGATGATCTGGGTTTGGATAAGTGCCTTGATTAGGTAAGACAATCTTCCTGAAAACACTTAACTCTTCAAATAGAAGTATGATTTAAAGTCAGAAGGGGAGAGTGAAAGGAACAGGTAAATTTCCAGAGATCTAAGATGGAACTAAAGCAATTTAAAAAACAGTATGATTTTTACCAAGAGATAAGTCTAAAATTCTATTAAAACAATGAAACTGTTGAAGACATGGTATGAATACGATGTTGTCTACATATTTTTTTTTTTGAACTTCTTGGTTTTATAGGTTTGTGTGGAGAGAATTACAGACCTAAAAATTAATTACAAGAGCAAGGACTTAATTTTGGTACAGCTTTGCCTGCTCACTGGCTCTATGTCATTTGACTGCATCTGTCTACATAAGAAAAATCTAGAAATACTAATTTTTAAGACTCTTTCGAGTACTTTGAATGTTATTCCCGATCACTAGTTACAGAAAACTAAGTATCCAAAAAAGGGTAGGATGGAATATTAAATGAAAGGAAAAGAGATTTCCTTTAAATTGAGCTTAAGTTGCTAAGATTTCCTTATGCTGTTGAGCTGGAACTTAGATCTGGTAAATCAAATTCAAATGACCTTTACTTTTGATTCTGTGAACTGTTAAAATACACTTTTCCTCAATCCCTTCACTAGACCAAACATAGTAACTATTTTCAAAATTTTCTTGAAAACAAATACTTTAAACCCTTTACCAAAGTACTAAAGAGATCCAAAAACAGAGTAACAAAAGACCTGAAGGAATAAAATTTATATACTCAGGAAAATCCAAAGAGAGAAGAAAAAAATCTCAGATGATTTAAGAAGTTGAATAAAAAATTCCAAGACAGAAAAACACTAAAGCAGTTTTCCAAGTATAAAACAAGTTATACAAATCAGTAAAAAACATACTAAGGCAAATAAATGAAAAAATTATTCACAAAAGAAACATAGTATATAATATTATATATAATAGGCAATAGATCTCTCTATTATCTTCCTGGAACTGAATCACCTAAGGTCTCCATCAATTCTCGTTTGGTAAATTAATCTCTACCTGCATAGCTCCAAGTTAGCCAGTGATTTGCTAAGGAGCTTTCTCACAGAAACAACTTTATGAAACATTTGTGTGGGTATGTAGTATTAAATAACGACCACGAATTCCCCTAAGCAAGAGTTATCTCCTAAGAGTCTAAATTTAAAAATCCAGACTTATTCAGATGGGAACCAACCCTGGAATGCAGTGTTTGAACCAAATCTTCAGGTAATAGTATTTGTTATTGATGAATATTTCATGAAGCTTTAAAACAGAATGTAGCCTGAAGGAGTAAAATTTATATACTCAGGAAAATCCAAAGAGAGAAGGAAAAAAACTCAGATGATTTAAGAAGTTGAATAAAAGTATTCCAAGATAGGAAAAAAATTAAATCAGATTTCTATAAAACAAGTTACACAAATTAGTAAAAAACATACTAAGGCAAATGAAAAAAGTATTCACAAAAGAAACAACATTTAATATTAAATATATATAATAGGTAATAGATCTTTTTTTAAAAGATGAAAGCAAGCTTCTGTTTCTTGTACACTTAGTAAAGATTTAATAGAAAACTAAAAGCTTAGGTAAAGATGCAGTAAAGCAAGCAACAAATACAAATGTCACTAATGAGAATATGAAATCAGTTTGTCTGAGGTGGTTTAGCTTATGACTCAATAACCTGACTTCTGTTAGCTCTTTATTAGATAAATATTCAATACAAAAAATATTTCATAGAAAAAGGAAAACAACTTAAAAATAGCAACAGGATAAAGTTATTAAAGAAGTATACTATAATGGGCAGAACAAGCACTAAAAAACACATATATCCCCAAGAACAATGTCATAGTATTATCCAACCATTTAAACAAGAAGTTTTTAAAAGTAGAAATGTTTATGTCTTAATCTTCTATGTAAAAAGCAGATATGAAGATATTATACATTACAGAGTGTACGTTAAAAATTGGCACAGAAAGAAAAAAGCAATTAATAAATCCTAAATACACAATAATACCTAAAGAATAAAACAGTTTTACTTGGCCTCATATGACTTTATGGATTTATGAGGATTTTATTAGTCAATATCTGCCAGTCAAGCTTTTCTTTGTAAAACATATGTAGGATTTGTAAGTATCATCTAAATGACTTCTAATCATTCACAAATATTTAGAATTATTCTCAGGAACTTACCACATGTGTAGTTTTTAACGTACTGCCATCAAATCTGCATAAACTGGAGCTCTCTTCAAAGAAAATATCACATTCTTCTAACTCTTGAGCATTACAAGGAGGCTTTTCTTTATCTGGATTTGGATTCTTAAACCAGAAAATAAAACAGTAAATAAGTAAAACAATGGTAGGGAAATGGATTTACTCATCCTTGGAAATGTTACAATTAGCAATAATAAAAAACCATGATCAGTTAAAAAAAAAAAAACAACTAAAAGAGAAATACAACGACAGAATATAGTTAGCAGAAGAGGATATTAAAACACCACTGTGCACATACATGTTTTATACACTCAGAGATGTAAAGGTAAATGAACACAAATGTTGAGACAGAATATACAAAACCCATGGGACTGACGGCAGAAGTAAAGACCGGTGATCCTGAAATGCAGCAAGAGACCATCTAAAATGAAGTATGAAGACAAAGACAAAAACAAAAACAAACAAACAAAAACCAAAAGAACTGAAAAAAAAAAAGGAAACATTCCAAATTCTTCAAATGTTATTAAAAACTATAATCATGTAAGTTCATGAATATCGAAGAACATTAAGCATAATAGTCTTTTAACATGGGGGGCCATAATCCCTATGTCTTGCTGCCTGGCAGCTATCCCACTGGTGGTCCATGTCTGACTGTCCCACCAGGCAGCTTTTCATTAATTTTATTAGTGAAAATACTGATAAAAGTGATTAGATCCGTTTGTACCGCTACTGGTGCAGGCAGCCCAATGGAACAGCCATGAATGTATCACCTGTGGTTTAAGCTAGTGGGAATATGTTACAAAAAAAAGAAATAGATTACAAATCATGAGATTGCTGAAAAGTAGTAACAGAGAAAATCCTAAAAGAAATCAAAGGAGTAAAAAGTATATTTCGTAGGATAGATAAAACAGATACAAAAGACAGGCGACTTCTCATTATAAATGATGGAAGCTAAAATATGAGGGAGCATTTTTGAAGTCCTAAAAGGAGAAAAACCGGTTAATATAGAATTATATATGCAACAAAAATAGCTTTAAAAAAAGACAAGCTAAACGTTCTGTTTTTTGTGGTCCTAATTCTGAATTCTGGCCCTTGTACACTCTGGTCAAGCACTCTGCCACTGAATAATATCAATGAATAATAGTTTGCAAAATTTTGAGACAGTATTTCTCTAAATTGCCCAGGTTTTCCTTGAATTTGAAATCGTTGGATCTCAGCCTCCCCGGTAGCTGGGATTTCAAGGATGTGAACAGCCCCCAGCCAACATAAGTATTTCTGCAGACAATCAAAAGCCAGCAGAATCTGTCAGATTTACACTACGAGTGATGCTAATGCTATTTTTTTTTCAGGGAAGAAGAAACAGTTAAAATTCAAACCAACAACAGAACAATGTAAAAGAGAGGTAATGACAGGTATAGAGGTAAATGTGACTTTTTTCTCATTTTTAATCTCTTCAAGAAAGAACTGGATAACTAAGCCTAAAATATATTTTATGTGGTTTTTATAACATGGAAATAAAATGTATGCAAACAGTAACACAAAGGATAGAAGGATGGAAGAAGAGAAATACAAAGTTCTTAAGTTATAGGTAATGTGATACAACATTCTTTTAAAAATAAATGGTGATAAAGTTGTTTACACTAATCCACACACAAATATGCACCCACACAAAAACACAGAAGTATGGCTAATCATAAGCCAAAAATACAGATAAATCAAATCATAGAAGTCACTGTAGTATGTACCCCTGCCTGAATACAAGAATCTCTTCCTGGTTTTATATCCTTCTGAAAGTAACAATATCAAAATTAATAAGGCAATAAATTATACATACAATTGTATAATAGAATTCTATGGCTGATCAAATCTGCACATTTGGTTTGCCAAAATAAGTACACTGTTGAGAATTTAACAAAGTGACCTGAGAGATTCTGTAAAACTAAATGGAGGAGGCTGGACATGGTGGTACATGTTTGCAAGCCCAGCATTTGGGAGGCTGGGGCAGGAGGATTGCCACATGTCTGAGGCCAGCCTGGGCTGCACTGTGAGTTCAAGACCAGCCTGCACTATGTAGCAAGACCTTGTCTAAAATAATTAAATAAAAATAACCTGAATGGATGAGAGTACCCAGGAATCTATGACACACATGAAAAGTACAGTATGAACAAGTAAAGAAAAAAATCAGCCAAGTAAAAACTGAAACCCATGATCAAGTTGTAATGATCAGTTTGTAATGGAATTAACATAGGTTGAAAATCTGAAGAATATGATTAGTTTAAAAATTTGGAGAATACAATTAAGTAGGGTTTTGAAGGAAATGTGTAACATTTAATGTTCTTGATCAGCTTTCTGCTACTATAACAAATACCTCAGATAATCAGTTCATTAAGTGAATTATTTTGTCTGTCAGTTTTGGGGGTTCCAGTCCACGATCAGTTGGCCCTGCTCTTTTGGGCCTACCGGAGTCAGTATAGCATAACAAGAGTGCACAGCGGAGCAGACAGGAAACAGAAAAGAGAGGAAGGAGCTGGGTCTTCTATCCCCTTGAGGACGTGCCATTGGCACCGCGACACCCTCCCTACAGCTGCACTCTAGAGACCAAGCCTTTAACACACAGGCCTTTGTGGGGGTACCTAAGATCTAAAATACAGCAGCTTTTATCAGAAAGAAAGGGTTAAAAATTAATCGTTTAAATAATTGCCTTGAAAAATATTAAAAGAACAAATTCAAAGTATACAAATGAGAAAATCATTAATCCAATAACAGAAATGAAGAAAGTAAAAACTAAAAAATAAAATCAAACAGATGTAGATGCCCAAAATAAAGATGTCAAATTCATTACGAAAAATCTTTCAAAAAGGAAAACTCCAAGCATAGATGGTTAAAATAAGAATAATAATGCAAATTATATATAATCTCTTCCACAAGTAGAAAAGGGAACCCTTTGCAAATTGTCTTAATTAGCATCAACAGACACCAAAATCACTAAGACACACAAAGAAACAAAACACTGTCCAATATTTCTCAGACAGCTCTAAAAATCCTTAACAAAATATAAGCAAATGGAATTGAGCAACATGTAAATGAGTAACACGATGTATAGCTTATCCCACAAATGTAGAAAATTCTATAGTTATTCATGATAAAAATTCTCAGCACATTAGAAATAAAAGAAAATTTTCCTGAAAGTGTAAAAGGAATGCACCATAGTTAACAATGAAGTCTCTTTTCCCAAAGATGAAAAGATAAGAATGTCTTATTTTACCACTTTCACTATTGTATTTCTTTTTATTTTTTATGTACTTTTCCTTTTTATCGGTACCGGGGATCCAACTCACGACTGCCTGCTTGCAAGGCAGGCGCTTATGCTGCTGAGCTAAATCCCCAGCCCCCACTATTGTATTTCAAAGTGGAATAGTGGTCCTAATCACCAAACGAAGGCACATTTAAAGATTAGAAAAATGCAAAATTGTCTTCAGCTGTAAATGACACGATTATATGTTTATCTTTTTAAAAATGCAACGGAAACACTGATGTTCAGGTATAAGTAATTTTTTCATAAAAACAATTATTTCTTTGAAACATTTAAGAAGTAGTTTATAACTACTATTACTATTACCATTATACTACTATTACACTATAACTACTATTACTACTTTAAAGTAGTTTATAAAGTAGTACGAGAATAACCTATGATTTAAAAACAGTAATATCATTCCCAGAGCCTGTCACAATCAAAACTTGCTGAATGAATGAACATAGAGCAATGTACCTAAAAGGCTTGTTATAAAGTGAGGATGAGTAAAGTTTAATAGTTTTATACATACAAGTTCCAGAGATTTCTAAAATAGTCAATAATTACTGGCAAACACAAAACTTATGTTCTCTATATTAGTCATGTTTTCCTTTATCAAAATTGTCTGCTTTCAATATTGTAATCTTTCTTTTCTAACCATAGAGTAATTTTTTAGTCTTCTTCACTAGTATCATTTAAGATTGCAATAAATCAGATATTTTACACATAATTACATACAATAATTTTTGGTAACTGACACCCTAGAGCACAGCTGCTGTGTTTGTTCAAACTCTCAACACAGTATTATAAAGTCATTCACATGGTAACCTCTTCAACCTCACGGAGGACTACTAGATGGTCATTACAAGAAATTATCAACGAAAATAACTATTATACACAATGCACACATACATATATATTCTTGTGATATTCGAGGATAACCTAGAAAATTTCAATTATGATAAGTAGATTATCAACTCTGGAATGGTAATGTTATGATTTTTGACCTTGTTACCGTGGTCAGGGAATATTAATTTTTCTAAAGGAGAATAGATGTAAACAGAGATATATAAACACATACACAAACACATGCCCTACACATAAACTCACATATATATGTACTCATATAATGTAAAAAATAAATGAATAAATTCAAATAGGATAAGAAAGTCACAGGTTGATCTTTTAAGCTGTACTAAAACATTAAGTCCTTTTATATTAAGAACATCAAAATAATGTTTAAAAAACATGCCTCATATAACACACTCTGGGATTCTTGAGAAGTCATAGTACTATTGTAACTGCTTACCAGTTCTTCAGAGGTCAAATGCATCAAACTTTCAGCGATTGCAGCACACTGGGCTGGGTCTCTTATTAGTTCCCCTTGTTTATCATTGACTACTACCTCTGGCCATGGCAGCCCTTCATTCTTCTTAATCAAAGAAATCTCCAGGCTGAAAGTTTAAATGAGAAAGGTGACATTACATTAAGCAACTATATAAATTACGCAATCAATAAGAACCAGAAGATTCTATAGGAATTACCTTCCTCATATCCAGCAGATATTTTATCAAAAACCTTACTTTACATGTGATGGAATACTTAAAACTCCAAGGCAAGTAATTCAGATTTAATGAACAAATAGGAAAGCACTACTGGAAACTGTCATACCAAACAGTTTGAAGAGAGAACTGAGTATAAGCAAAGAGGGCACCTAGACGGTCTTACTGCAGGCCAGGAGTAAAGTGACTCACTAAACACGAGCAACACAAATGTAAGTGGCATGCACCTGTGATGAGGCACTGAGACACTGGGGGTCATAAAGCAAGGGAGGGCCTACAACTGAAGCGACTGCCTCTTGCTGTCTGGAACCAACAATTATTTTCATAAACTAACAGCCTTTAATGTATGAGTAACAGAAACATCATCAGGCTAAATCAACAGAACCGCTAAGGTCTAAAATACAGATTTTAAAGAACTGAAAAGATATGTAAACATTAGGAAAATCATCACTGGTAATAAAGATGCTAATGTAGCCTCTATTAAATTACTTAAAGTCAAATTCTGTACAATTAAGTCATTAATAACAATTTCCAAATGTGCTAAAAAGAGCCTGTCAGGAAACCCTGAGGTCAGTGATTGAAGGGGTAGGAAGAAGCTGAATGGAGGCAGACCACGGCACAGAAGGCTGTGACCTGTGTCCCTTCAGAACTGGAAAGGAGACAAGTAAAATGCCTAATGAGCAGCCAGTCCTTCAGCACACGGAGAAGTACGACGGTGGGAGCTGTCAACAGCAAAGCCAGCTTTTCTATGTGCCATCTTTGTTACACGTGCGCCACACAAGCCCATGCCTTGCAACACAACTGCAAGCAAACAACTATAAGAATACAACGGCTATTACCATAACTGCAAATGGAACATGCAAACTCACTGGCCACTCATTTTCAAAGCTGTAATTATCACTACCGCACGAGTTAATTACCGCATTTCAAAATGTTTGAACGTGCTTATCTTAAAGAAACTTATACAGAATAATAGCTCTCTTATGTAACAGGAGTTCCTACTGTTAGCCCTGAAAACTACCACCACAATCAATAATGCTCAGATTCAGTTATATTTTCTAAGGAAAAGGCTACTCTTGGTGATGACGAAGGTAGTAATAGAAATAACGAAGCTTCTACTACCCCAGTGCTTACCATATGGCAGGTGGGGTTTAAGAATTTAACATGTTTTAACTCATTCATTGCTTACCACAAACAAATGAAGTGGGTACTATCATCATACTCATTTTACAAGGAAGAAAACAAGCACTGAGAGTTTAAGTAATTTGCAAAGGTCACAAGCCAGGAAAGCAGTCTGGCTCCTGGTCCATGTTCTTCATTACTGCACTATTCTGCCTCTCGAAAAAATACACATAGATGACTGTTAAAGAACTTTTACCCAGTGGCCAGATATATAAAGGTGTTCTTCCCTGCTAACTAAACAGGCATGAACGAGGTCATACAATCCTAGCTGTAAAGAGTTTCTGTGGCCTGCTGCTGATTTGCACACCTAGACAATGCGGCCCTTTTAGCCTGGCTGCACTTCCACATTTTAAAACTAGTACTATATCTTGCTATCCAAGAAAAACAGAAGCATACAGCGTAAAAATTAAATTATAAACTAGTCTAACAAGTCTCAAAGTGAGAAAGAATATCAACTGTTTGAAAATTGGATATGAAAAATTTAATCAAGTACAAAATTACGTGTTTTCTAAACTGAGATACCACCTACACGTCATGGTAATTAACTTTTGTAACACAAACTGGTATTTAAACACCTCTAACCTACTGGAAAAACAACACTGATCTATGTTCATGTATTTAATGCTAAAACTAATTTATATTAAGTCCAGCTATTTTCCTTGACTCTTGCTGGGTTGTGGCTTGATGACTTACATTTAACAGTATGTTCTAGGTGGTTTGTTAATTTACAAATGCTATCCTGAAACCCCTCACATTCTCATACACATGATGAATAGAATATGTGACGATATAAAGTATTTGTAAAGAAGCTTTCAGATAATTATTTTCGATGTACTAAAAAAAATGTAACCAAGTCACCAAACATCTCTGTTAAAATGAATTTATGATATCTTTCTAAAATTAAACATTTTCTTTGAACTGTTTTTTATTTTGGTAGAGTCCCATGATTTATACTACTAGACACAAGGGTCATATACTTCTAGACAAGAATTATATATATTGCTCCATGGGGTATCCAACCTAGAGAAAATTACAGAAAAAAATTGAAAGAGCATTAAAAAATGAAATGAAGCTGTTGAGACCTTTTCTTGAAAGATTTCACAGACATCAAGCCTTTTAGATAGAGGGAAGTATATAACCTGTACTACAACACACGTTGAGTTTTTACACCAGGTATTCTCAGTATGTATTTGACAAAAACAAGCTGGACTGAAATTGATGGTTTTGTTAATTTAAAGACCACTACTTTTAGAAACAGATAACAGCAACCAAGAGAGTGCTACAAAATGATTTTTAGAAACTTCAGAATGGATTGAACAGAAGATTTTCCACCACCTACTAGCACAGTCCTTTGTGGAAGATGCTTTGATGTCTTTCTGCTTTACTAGTAAAGTTGTGCCCTTCTCTCTTCAGAGCTACAGGTTTTTATAGGGAACCAAAAACTAGTACTGAATTAAGTAGCCTTTAAATGTTCAGAAGTCATTTTGACACGTGAATTTACACAGGTGCCAAAGTAATAAGCAGATAGGAAGTTTTTAAACAAACAGGGTATCATGTTAAAGCTGCTTTCAAAAAGCAGTAAACACACATTCCATGTAATAAATGGAGACAAAGAGTTAAGTTCTATGTTTAGAACATCAAATTAACCGTAAATACTTCCTTGCTGGCTCACCTATGATCTGACAACATGTTGAGGCGAGAAATGTTCTCAAACTATAGTGCAAAGCAAAGGGGGCAAAAAGATTACAAGTAGAAATTCCAGCTAATTTTTTTTAGATCATTCTATAATATTTTATGGGTTCATTTTGCCTGAAAGAGTTTAAACTGAAGAGTTTTTCCCGTTTGGAAGTTTTACAGTTTGACTGATTTTACCACGGTAGGGGGTGAGCCTACAGTCTCTCCCTGAGCTATACACCCAAACCCTTTCTACTTTGGACAGGGTTTTGCTGAACTGTCAGTGCTTGGCTTGATCTTGCAATCCTCCAGCCTCAGCCTTCTGAACAGCTGGGATTACAGCTGTTACAGGTATGTGTGACTGTGCCCAGCCTGCAGCTGACTTTAATTCTGGCTATTGTCTGGAAAAGATGGACTGTGTGTGGAGATATGAAGCAGTATTCCCAAAATACAGTTGTGTATTTTGTATTAAAAATATCACTGCTTTTTTCTACACCATTTATATACATGTGGTGATGTTAATGTTAAACTGTAATATTCAGAAATTAAAATGTGATCCTATAATTCAAACAAAAACAAGAATTACACCTTACGTATACGACATTAATCTAAATCAAAAGATTTAGGTTGAATTAACCAAATACTTATTTTTGCTCAATTTAACCATTTAAAAACTTGAGTACCTAATACAATTCATTAACTTATTTATAAACTCAGTAATTAAGATTTAATCTATAATGAAAGAAATTAACTTAATGAGTTCCAATGCTTAGAAGTGAAACACATGGACAAGATATTTGTAAAGAAGATGGTAGTTGGGGCAGAGGATTCAAGTTCCATGAAAAACTTTGCCAATGTACTTAAAATATATTTTTATTTTTTTTACTGAAGTTAAATTATAAACAAAATTCAAAAATGTTATGTTGTCTTCTCTGAGTTTAATAAATGTTCACCTATGTAAAGCAATGACAATACTGAGCATTTCCATCATCCAGGAACTTTCCTTATAATTAATGATAGCTTGCTGTGTGTGCTAGCCAGTCATGCAATTTCTATTGTGGTATGCATATTAAAAGCATTTGACCATTTCAAAAATTGGATTTCCTTTTTTATGGGTTTGTGATGCAAGTCCTCTGTTTAATAAGAATACCATGAATATTTTTTCCAGTCCATATGTTATTTTTTTGCATTCTTAATTTATCTTTAGAAAGGCTGAAATTTTCAATTTTGATATGCAAAGTATTAATGGATAAAATTCAACTTATGTATTTTTTGTGTGTCTGTCCTAAGAGACACAATTCATAAAAGAAATATAAATGGCCAATTTACATAAGAAATAAATTTATTTGACCTAATTAAAAATATATTAGAATATTAGAATATGTTCAAATATGTTAATTATGTAATTTTCAGGAATTTGTCCTCCATATGTATTTCTACACATGTAAAGTGACATATACATATAGTTATTCACTGTAGCAAAAGACTGCAAATAATCTAAATGTAAAGCAATGGAGAATCGATTTTTTAAATGATGGTACAATCGACAGAGTAAAATATAACAAAATATAAAAGGAGATTTAAAAAGTGTTACATATTCTTAGTAGAAAGATCTTAAGATTTATTGTTGAAAATGAACAAAAGCAAAATGTACAAATGGTATGTGTCAAAATAAACAGAGAAAAACATACATGTAACTGAGATACACAAAATATCTCTGGAAGGAAACTAAACAATAGGTATAGCAAGCAGGAGAAGGTGTGAGTGGCAGGCCTGCGTTAAAAGGAGCCTTCTCATTCCACCTGGTTTCATATGGTGCATTTTAAATTTTAATGAATAGTAATTGTGTTATTTAGCAAGCAAATTAAAACTCAAAAAATTATTTCTAATTAAAGCTTTAAAGCACAAATCAGAGTAACTATTTTTACTACCATATCCAGAGCTGGTAATAAAAAGCACTGCTATACTATATACTGCAAGTAGTAACTATGTAGACTAGTCTCTATCCTTAATTACTATGTTCCTTGATGTAGTTACTTCAGTTTAAACCTACTATAAGAAAAATAGTAACTGATGCAAACAGAAATAATATATTCACACTTGACGCAATTACTATACATAGAGCACAAATTTAAAAAGTAAAAAGCAACAAAAGATATTTTCAAATATAAAACTATAAAAAAATACCTATTATTTTCTTTAATTATCCATGTACTGCTTTCATGATCAATAGATGAATACAGCTTCCCTCCCAAAACCTGGAGATTCTTCAGCACAATGTTGATGTGATCAGGTAAAAACTCTACTTGAATATCCTCCTTGGTAATATCTTCTGCAAGCCGTATTGTCACTGTCAAATCATCTTCAGTCTGTTGCCAGTAATACAAAGGTTCCACTGGGAAAGGAAAAATGCATTATATAATAATAAAAATGAGACATACAAAATTACAGATTACGAACTTAAGAAAATACCTATCTAGAAGAATCTCGGCACACTTTCTAGTGATCATCTCCGAAAGAAATCGTAAGTGAACACACAGATCTCTTGGGGAACTGTCAGAGTTGCACCAATTGTATTTGACCTTCTCCTCGACCAGGCTTGTCCAATGATGCAAAAGATAAGCACTCATAAAATACACAGGGAGCAATCTTTGTTCCCATCCTCTCTGCCTCCTCATATCCCTCCTCTCCTCCCTCTCTCCCCTTCAGTACCCCACCAACACAGAGTAGGTTCCTAGTTGAAAATATATGGCTCCTTCATAACTTAGCAAAGCAGTTTGTACACAATAATCACTCAACTGACAACTTCTGCCAGACGGTGAAGATGGGGGAAGTCTGGAAAACTGCATGAGCCTCGAGCATGAAAGCTAAGGAAGCAGACCCTCGTGGGGAAAGCAAGGGTTTTTAAGTTTCCTCGATGAAGTATATTGTCAGTTGCTTTGAATATCTATCTGTGCATTTAGAGGTTATGTTTTAGCTCTTTAAGAAATGCTATTTGTATTATTTAACAATATCAAATATCCAATAGATAGTATCAGTCTTCTTGTGGTTTACAGAAACACAAAATCAGTATGTATACGCAGAAAAGTATTATTAACTGTGCTCACCAACTATCTGCAATTTTTAAAAATTATAACACTTTTCTTTGCAACTGTGAAAGCTCTGTGACAGAATAATAAATTCAAGTTATAACACAAAGTATCAGTAAGAAAACCAATACCCAGGCTCACAGGTGGTGATGTGAAAACACGTGTGCCACTTTGCTGTCATCCATCTTTGAATGTCAGGGTCCTAGGCTATGTAGACAGAATGGCTCTAACGGTCAGTCAAGGCATTCATTCATTCTTTGCTTTGCAACTACTTACTAAAGGAGTTGTAAAGGGCATTGGCCTAGGGTTTTAAAGTTATTTTGGAAAAGCTTTAGGAAAGTTTAGCATCATGGTTAAGGCAAGATGGTAGTATTTATTTGGAAAGGGATCTTAGAGATAACCTAACAAAAACACATCATATGTAAGCAAACAATCATATTAGAAGACTAACACATAGGTATTTAAAATCAATAAGCACAACTTCTTTGTATTAAGAGATGTATATATTTATAAATCTGGGATATTTAAAAATATTTATTACATTAATATTTTAAAATACTTTTCAAATAATTCATTTTTTAAACTACAAAAAGAGTGAAGCTAATTTTTAAGTAACTATCATTAAAGAAGAAAAAGTAGATCCAAAGAACAGGATGTAAAATTGTTAAATATTGTAAAAATTTCAAATAAAATATAATATTCTCCCACTACATATTGTCTATGAGTATCAGAAATACACTAAACAGCAGTATATTTTCTTGCTTTAAAGAAAGTTTTAAAAGAATACGCACCTTTCATATATAAAAATAAATTTCTTCTAAACTTTGTTAACCTCATACTAAAACATGACCTTTATTAATTCATTCAACATTAAGCAAACTTACAGATATTACCCTCAAGGAATGAACATTCAGCTTAATAAGACAGAACACTTACAGTAGCTTAGTTTATCTCAAAAGACTTCCACTTTCAATACTACCATATTTATTTATTTGGTAAGTGTTTAAACATTTAGTCAAGTAAGCTAATAAATAGGCTCTTTTAGGGATGGTAAGGGTAGGGAATGAAAAAACAAGATGTACTATGTACATAAAAGTAATCATTGTGTATCCTAAAACTTACTAAAAAAAATACGAATAAAAATCTCTGATAATTACTTTTTTTATTTCTTGGTACATTATTGGGGGTTGAATGCAGGAACTTCACGTTGATCTATAATCTGAGCCCTTTGTTAAATTTTAATTTGGAGACGAGCTTCCATTAACCTGCTAAGTTGCCGAGGTGGGACCCAAACTTGCCATCTTTTTGCCTCAGTCTCCCAGAATACTGAAATTATAGGCATGTACTACATGTCCAGCTTGATAATTACAAAATTAATGAATTATGCCAATTTACACTACTTATGTGGTTTATTTTACAAAAGGATTTCTTGCGAAAATATGGAAGAAGATACTAAGAATATACTAAGAAACATTAAGCATCTCTAGTAATTAAGAAAACTAAGCATTTATCTTGCCCTGGCAGAATTCACAACAAAAACAGACACAAGCGTATATGCACAAGCAAACACGAGATCTAGGTAAGAAGGTTAAACACAAAGTCACCTTTATTTTTCTCTGGCATGTCTTCATCCATATTTTCCTCAGACTCTTGAGTAATATGAACAAATTTGAAGGACTTGTAGGAAATAATCATTAGACCTTTCCCACTGGGCTCAATAGCAGCATAATGCGGTACTGACTTTCCATGAAGAATATCACGTTTAGTAATTTCATATTTTACATTATCTATAAGAAAAGTGTTTTAGAATAAAACATTTCAATTAATGAATATTAATTTTAAGTGTTTGAAAGGTATACTATTAAATATCTTTTCATAAGGATAAAAATTTTACAACCTAATTTTTTACAAATAAATTCCCACTTTAAAATATTAGGTCTCATAAATGTACTGTCCAATGTGGCAACCACTTAAATAACAAGTGATTATTTAAAAATTAAGTAAAATTTAAAATTCACCTTCTCAGACTTATTAATCACATTTTAACTGCCCAATAGCCACATACGGCTAGGGGTAACCATACGTAGTGTGTGTCCATCTCACCCAGGTTTCCAATGGATGGTAGAACTCTGGATATTCAAAGTAAGTGACTCGCCTAAAATATCAGCTTCATAATTGTAGTTTTTAAGATATAAACAATTAACATATCCCCAAATTTGCTAAATTAACTAAATTTATTCTCCTGTGAATAAATAATTTTACTTTAAATAATACTTTCACCTGAGTCCTTATACTGTTACTATGTAAAGTGGGTTATATTTGTAAGGTTTAAACTGAATAAAGTCAGTGTTATATTGCTATGAATTAAACACAACAACATAATTTGTTCTAAAACGTCTGTCATTGTGCTCTAAACCCTTACCTGCATCCACACGTTCAATTCACACATGTTTAAAAACAGATTTGTAACCTCACGTGTGGACTAAAATTTATGCTTTCTCCATAGTTACATGCAGGATAAACAGTCTTACTGCCTATAAAGAACCTAACTTAGGCACTACATATTTTATAGAAGGATTTTTCCCAACATATGTGGGGCAGACAGTAATAGGTCTCAAACAGGGAACTCATGATTAAATAAGTTGGGAAATTCTGAGTCAAAATTAAATTTTCTTTTTTACTTACATTTTCTAGAGAGTCTAATATGCTTAAAATGTAAAATGAGTATTTATTGTATATCTATATTCTCAAATTCAATTGACTACAAGATATAATTAATTTTGTGTTTCATTCAACACAGTTTAGAAAGAGAGGGCATGGGGGAGAGATACCATTCAGTGCACAGGCCCTGGGATCCATCCCCAGTACTGGGGGAAAAACTAAAAGGATGATTATATTAATAACTGTTAAGGGGGAAAAGGGACAAGACATGAACAGTGATAAAGGTAACCAATGAGAATCGACGCCTCTAAAGCTGTGGGTTATAGAAACTCCTCGTTGAGGAGGGAAAGCAAAGATAAAAGGAGGAGGTAATCAGGAAGTAGACTGACTCTGTGCTCAAGGCAACACACATAGTTATAGATACGAAAATTATCAGGAAGCTGAATAAATCTGATGAGATACTGTGTACTGTGCTAAAGCAGTTACAGAACTAAGTGTCTTGGAAATAGGAGGAGGAATACACATGATGATTTCTCCTTTCACTGATTAATGATTTTAATAAAAAATTCAATCTTCTACTTTCTAAAGTAGGAGCCTGCCAATCATGGCCCACAAGCCAAAGCTGCATCTGGACCTATTTTTGTATTGCCTGTGAATTACAAATTTTATTTTTAAATAGTTTAAAAAGTCAAAAGAATATTTAATGTGCATAATATTCATGTTACACTCAAACATTAATGTCTATCGATACCATTCTTGTATGGATTTGTCAATGGCTGCTTCTATACCACAAAGGCATAGTTAAATGGCATTGACACAGATTGTAAATTTATGATCTGGTACTTTGCAGAAAAACTTTCCAGTGCTTACAGTGTTAAGCTGTGTTCCTCCACAGATGAAACTAAGTCCTGGAAAGAACAAATAAATCATACTGAATACCTCAAAAAACAAATCTAGGACATTTATTCAGCTAACTGAAAATTTTCATAACTACAAAGATGTATATGGGTGATGGTGGTTGTTTCTTTCAGAATTAAGTTAAAAGATCTCTTAGAAAAAATGTTGATATCCTTTCTTAAACTGTAAACTAGCAGTGTGGCAAGAAAATATTTTTCTGTAGCGATGAAGAATTTTACTTATTCATCAATGAGAAAAAACAGAGTCACTGAAAAAAGCTCAGTAGGTTCTCCACTACAGAATAAACCAAAACACTTGGTGAGCTGCTAAGAACCAAAGACCATGGTCTGCTCTCACCACTAAACCAACCCTAATTAATACCCATGAAAGTAATTTTTAATGTCGAGTTAAAAAGCATGACAGGTTCAAGCAGACCTACTTTCAGGACTTTTTACACATGGGCGAAAAAAAGGAACAGTTTATGGAGGATAGACACAAAAAGCAAAGTTCAGTGCAATAAAGGCATTCATTTCCACCCTGGTATTCTTATGTATTGACATTTAAGTTACACAACAGTGTATCACTCATTTACAATTGGTTTTATATGCATGATTCTTGTGTATATATTTTTGATTATATTAAAAATATACATATTAAGGTCTTCAAAAACTATGTAATGTTTCCATTTATGTAAAAGGTGTAACTGGCCATGGGAACATATTATAGTTTTATAAAACTCAGACCTCAGGACATACTATAGATATTCATCCTATTTGCACTAGCAGGTGCTAGACTCATAACACAATGCCTAAGAAAAACCAAACAGAATCTATAGGGACAACCTTATAATATACAACCAAACAATGCTACAACAGAAATTCAGAATTCCACTTTATTTTACCTTTATTTTTCTTACTGATAGTGACCCATTCCAGAGAAACATAGAAGCCACTTCCTTTCATATCCAAGTCCTCTTTCTCGACTCGAAGAAGTAGGGTAACTACTGAATGTTCTTCAGCTTTTAGCAAAGAGATACTGTGAATTATAATGAAAGGATTCCCAAGCTCTTCATTGAACACAATCTATAAAACAAGATGTACAAAAACATACATTTACATGAACAGATAGTACAAGAGGAATACTTAAAATTCTGACAATAAATTAACTTTCAATACTGCTTATTAGAAAGAACTACTATAGTAAAAAGGTTTAAACTGAATAAAGTCAGTGTTATATTGCTATGAATTAAAAGTTTACTTTTAAAAAGTAAAAACTGTCTAAATATAGGCTGCATTTAAATAAATGTTCCCTGAAGAACTTTAAAAAGAATTTGCAAAACTGACCAGTAATCCTGTTTAAAGACAAAGAAAATACAAAGCATCCATGCAGCATCTAGAGGAGTAAGAGGACCTAAAGATCTAGGAGAGAGCCGAGGGGAAAAGCTGCTCTGCGCAAAAACAAAGGACAAGGCAGGTCACTGCTCATTTTTTATCTCTCCCCGTCTCATACACACATAGGACCTATTTTTGCTGCTTCATCTTTGCTTCCAGACACTGTGCAGGTGTACATGCCTCTGGAAGTAAGCCTCAAACGTACTGTTTTCATCTGTCTTTATTTTCTACACAATTTCAAAGAGAACAGAATGCATCAGAAAACAAATCACTAAAACTTTCTTAATGTCAAAATCAAAAGCCCATTTGCATTTAAAAGCTAATTCAACAAATCCTAAAATAAAATCTTCAAGTTGTTCTCCTTACCCCAAGCAAATCTAAAAACACACAGAATCCTATTATTTTTATACCATAAACACAAGGCCTAAAAGACCATTACATTTATATTAAAACATTCGTTAGGAATTTTAATATTGATTCATAAACATGACCTCGACACAAATGAAATGACCATGAAAAGAAAACTAAAGAAAGTCAGCACTTTTTAAATCTGTATAGAGACCTCATATATCTCTTCCTGCTTGGAAGCTTTATAAAGAAAAACAAGCTATGTTGCCAATTTCTCTGTGTTTAAGCACCTCTGTCCAAATTATTTAAATAGTAGGCCTTTGGAATTCACTCTGACTTTCATAAACACACACACACACACACACACACACACACACACACACACAGACATACTCACAGTCACCCCTTCAAATACTTAGAATCAAGATACCAGATGAAAATGGCTTTGTATAGGCTGACTGAATTTTTCTTTTATTTGGGAGGTCAGCAGAAACTAAAGGCAAGAAGAGAAAATGATAAACGATAAATTTTGGTAGGTACATTCGGTTAGTTTATTGTCTCCTTTTCCTTCCTTCTGTGAGTGGTAATAAATGGGGCTAGGGTAGATGACTAGACTTTTAAAAACTGTTAGGCACTGATCATTAGTTTCCTTTTTTTAAATGAAAACAGGAAGACAGACTTGTAAATGAAAAGGGGATCTAGAGATTCTTAGTTTCAACAAGCACAGTATACCAACCATGACACTGTTCATATCTAGCACTTCCATTACAGGCACATACTTGGAAAGCAGACAGTCTTCTCTAAACCCTTGATTCCTTTCCGACACTTCAATCATCTCCACCATCAATGCCCTCCTTGTACCCTTGCATGCCCTTAATAACACTCTCCTTTAGCTTCCTTTTTATTATACCAACTCCTCCAAAGCCCTAATACTTCTCTAAATTGTTCCTTCACATGACCAAATATTGTATACTATCCTTTTTACCTCAATTAATGCCAAATTCCCATTCTCTTCGCATTACCCCCAACTACCAAAAAACTTCGATTAACTGAAAATATCTCAGAAGGGTGCTCATTTTATTACAGTAGTTTATAGTACAAAAGGCATAAGATATTTAAATTTTTAACTGATTATAGACCTAATAAGTGCTGAGGGAACACATAACAGAAACCAAAAAGATTATGCATCCTTCTGCATCTCCTTTTAGCTGACTCATTATCATTTTCTTCTAGTTTCAAAAATAGGTTCTAGAAAAACTAATTCTGTATTATTAGCATCAAAATCCTGAGTATCGCTGTTTTGACACCATGTTTTGCTAAATAGGAAATATTCACAGCAGTGCAAATATATCAGCAAACCTAACATGAGTGTAGAGGAGCAAAAGATATCAATGTTAGCTTCAGTCAATTCTGCTCCAAGGAAAGAAGGCAATGTCGAGCACGCTCATGGCAGTGCTTTATATGCCAAACACTCAGGATGCCTCTGCAGAAAAGCAAATGTAACTGCTGTGAAATGACGGCAGTCCTGGCTGTGATCACAGCCTCATGAGAAACCCTCAGCCAGACCACCCACTTAAACCACGCCCTGATTTCTGACCACACAAACTGTATGAGATGAGAAATATTTCAAATCACTAAGTTCTGAAGTAGTTATACAGCAGTAGACAATAGTATGAAGTAACCTGATTTTCTTTCTCTTAATGGTAGAGTTAATGATCAGTATTTTAATTCACTGATTATAACAACTGCACTGACACTGAGTCAAAACAGGAACAGTTAACATCACTGTCTAAAAGGTATATATCTTATAATTCAATTAAATACAGATCTAGAATGTTATATCAGCAAATCAAAAGGGCACATGTAGAGTATCCCTGAAAAGTATTATTAAAATAATTTCTAGGTCAGGTGTGGTGATGTATGCTTATAATCTTAGCACTTTGGAAGGTGAATTATGAGGATCACTTTGAGTTCAAGACCAGCCTGAGCTACAAAGTGAATTCAAGGTCAGCCTGAACTGCATCGTGGAACCCTGTCTCAAACAAACAAAAACCCCACAAAATAAATAGTCTAATTTGCATATGATTTCTAGACGTTACATAATTTTAAAAAGAAAAAAATCACTCACTTCCCATTTTTCAGAAGCACTATTTCCACGTTCACCTGTTCCAATGACATACAATCTTCCGGTTCCATCTGACAAGGTGACCCAGGTAGACGCTGTGAAATGCATAGATGCACAAAGGCGATTGTCATATGCTGTCAGGTCTGTAGGAAGTCGAAATACCTCTCGTGGTTTTCCTAATGCAGTGTCCTAAAAAGATATCATATATTACATGTGAATTGCTTCTTCCTCTTCCAGGATACACACATACACAAAATGTAGTGCAGTAGTTTCTCTTTTATTCAAGAGTCAGAACCAATTTCCCCTACCTCTGAGCTCTATCATTGATTCACTCCTAGCAAATTGTATATAGTAGACAGCATAGATGGTATATAACCTCTAGGCCTATAGATCATCAAATACTTTTTCTCTTCTGTCTTGCTCTATTTCTTGGACACCATACTCTTAAGTGAAACTAGCTATCGTGTTGTAAAGATGCAAAAGAAGCTGTGGGAAGAACCCACAGCGGGGGACCTGAGGGCCCCAGTCAATAACCAGCACTCTATGCATAAAACATTTCAGAAATGTATCCCATGATCCTAATAAAGCCATCAAATGACTACAATCCTCTCTGTGATCATAACCTCATGAGAAACCCTCAGCTAGACCACCCACTTAAACCACTCTGATTTCTGACCACACAAACTGTGTCAGATGAGAAATATTTATTGTTCTAAGATACTAAATTCTGAAGTTGCTATACAGTAATGGATAATGCTATGAAGTAATGTGGTTTTCTTTCTCTTAATTGTTGAGTTGATGATCAGTATTTTAAACCAATGATGATAAATTTCACATCATGTTCTAAAAGCCTACACAGACATCAGCCTGCAGAATGAAATACTTACATTTAGACTACTACAAACTGAGGTATCTGTTTATAAGTTTGTAATTGGGCTTGTGCTTTTATAACTTAAAAGCTATGAGATGGGCTGCATCACTAAACTGTTTTAGAAAGAAACATCAAAATGCTTACTAGTAGGAAACAGCTTCCTTACACAACCAGAGTAAGTTCAATATAACAATTATTTTTTCTTTTTTAGGGGTTCAAGTTTTATTTGTCAGTTATGATTTTCTTATAGAAGAAGTCATCCTTGTTTTCTATATTTCACTTCTTGCTCCTAAAACTAGATCTATATACACTTTAGAGAAATTTAATAAATATACAGTATCTTCACAATCACAAGTTTTTAATGATCCATTATTTTTTAAAGTATCCAATTTAGTTTTTTCTAGAATAACTTTCCTTCTCTTACTAATTTGCATAATACTGAATTAAATATAAAATAGCAAGCACAGCTGGCACAGTTTTAAAGAAACATCAAATCTAAGTATTAATAATTTAAAAACTATTAAAAAACAGAATTGTATCAACATAGGGCTGAGTAGCCTATTAGCAATAAGCATTAAACTTATTGTGCTCTCCAGTTCATATGTTTTATAGAAAAATAAAAAATATCAGTTAACCTAGACGGTTAGAGTGGAGGTTAATTAGGAAAACTTTTGCCAGAGGCTGATGACTAAATCAAAATGAAGAACAAGGGATGTGGTATTTCCACTTACTAAGAAGAAATGGACTAGTCAAATGGTCACTAGAGAACCTCTGAGAAAAAGTTACATCAAGAATATCTTCCTCCCACATACTCAGAAACATTCCACATCAGATAATACCTAAATATGTTAAAAGAAAAGTAAAATAGATTTATTAGAAGTTAATATTTTTATCATTTCATGGTGATAAGGTTTTCCTATGTATTAATAAAAAATAATTAGGCTGCAGAGAGAAAAAGATTTATCATAAACACAAGACTAACATCTATAACATATATATGAGTGCTTAAAACAAGAAACATGCAATTATCTAAAATGTTTAATCAGGCAGAGAATATGAAAAGTAAAATTATAATTTGTTTATTTTTAAAGGCCAAATTTACTAGTAAAAATAAACACAAAAAAAATTAAAATAAGATCCCCCCCAATTAGCCAGAAACAAAAACAAAACAAAAAGTCAAATCTTACAACTGGTAATGTTTTTTCCTTGACTCAAGTGCCCTGCTGATAGGAGTGGAAACTATGTATAAGCCTTTAGGAGGTGATAATAAATCAAGTTCCATGATGTCTTAAATATATTTTGATACAAATCCCTTTGCGGGAATTTGTAAGAACACTTGCATATATAACAAGTTCCATGGCACAGTAATGCCCATTTTAGCAATGCAAATGTCAGCTTGTACCAACAAAAACTAGGAAACAATCATGTTGTTTTATCAGCTTAACAGAGGAAAAAGCCAGGCCTGACATTATGAAGCTGCCTAGTAGCATCTGCCAAGTCTTAGTTTTATTGTAAACTAGCCTGGCACTAACAGGATTGTTTTACTGAACGGAAGCAATTTACAGAACATACTGCGTGACCATGACAGAACAAGACAAAAACTCCATGACTCCGTAATGATCTCTGAACATAGATAAAACATGAACACCCCGCACAATTACAATTATGACTAAATCCAGGCCAATAAGGGCAACTGAAGCTTCCTTGCTAATTAGTCTGAACCTCAATCTTGCCTTTTCTCCTAGATGATGCTAAGACACATCAAAGAATTACTGAGTTTCTTACTGAATCCACTCAAGTTCCACTGTCTTAAACCCTCCCCTCAAATCACCTAACACAAGCCCAATTCTTTACTATCACTGCTTCCAAAGCCTGTTACTGAGACATCCCATGGGCTCCTTTGTGGTATACGGTGCTGCCCCCCCACCCGAAAAAGTAATAAATCCGATTTGTTCAAACACAGAGGTGTGCCTCTGTGTTTGTTTGGAAAACACTGGCAGGGAAACAGAACACCCACTCTATGGAACACCAAGTAAGTGCTAAGTACACTGAAGCAGGCTTATATTGCAGATAGAAAAACCTGCCAAAAACCAAAAAAGATCAACAAGATGGTAGCTAAAAAAACAAAAACAAACAAAAAAGATGCAGAACATGCTCAGTGTAGGCTGAAATAAACCTGGTGGTATGCCAGCACACGGTAAAGTAAACACAGACACAGGCAGGTTTGACGATATTTAGCACTTTGAAAGGAAAGGCTGGAGTATGACTCGTGCTCGGGGAGACTGAGAGGAAAAGCACATTTTTCCCTCTCTGCCTCAAACACAGAGTTTTTTTTTATACTGAGCAATTTACAACTGAGATACCTATATAATTTAGAAAATATTAGTATGATGAAACAGTTGTTTCAAAGCAAAGGTGTCTAGTGGTCATTGTATTTCATCTAGAGAACCGCTATTAAGAGAAAGGCAGGAATAAACTTGTTAAATCGCTGTTCTCCAGTTCACACACAAAATATACGTTTTAATCCATTTTCTGTTAAATACATGGCTGCCATGACTGAGGCTGTTAGAAATATAATTATTCACATAATCTGGTATAATATTCAGTAGAGTAATTAAGACACTCAAGAACATAAATGTGAAACCAAAATTAATGTAGAACAAAAAGAAAACACACTCTCTTACCTGAGTTAAATGACTATTATAATGAAAGCAATCTACTGTTCTTGGTGTTTGAAATTTAATTCTCAAAGAGTACATTTTAATTTTAACTGCACTATAAGCAATGCAATCTTTTCTTTCGTAAATCCTGCACTGGAACATGAATTATTTCTGAATAACCTCCACTGGTAATTTTACTAAGTGTCCCCATAATAACATCTTGTATGTATAATTGGATCTATAATATATAATTTCACCCATTTTCTTATTCCTCACAAAAAGAGACTATATTTAAGAATATTAAAAAATCATTCTGAGGTAACATTTCACAGAGATTTCATTGACAAGTGAACATTATGATGATTACAATATATAAGCAAATTAAGTGCTCTGACTTTTGCTATCTCATTTAATCATTGTTTGCAACTGGTATTATTACTCCTGCTTTAAGACAGAAAGGCTCAAAAACATTAATTTGATTGAAACTCCACTGTTAGAAGATGGCAGGGCCAAGACTCAAATCTTGATCAACTCTACTACAAAAATCAGTACTTTTTCCTTATATTTCACATTTTCTATAGAAAAACACATTTCCCATAGTTTTCAAAACAACTGATACTCTGGGTCTCAATGTAACTTCTAGAACACCATCTTTGACTACAACTATCATAACTCATTTTTTCTTTGGGTTATTTTTCAGTTAAATTACTGAGTCTACCAGATGCAATATAAAATTACAATGTCCATATATATAAATGACATTATAAATAAACAGCATCTAAACATTAATACCTAAACCATGTATGTTTATGCCAAGAATTTGGGACCCTCAAGGTTGCAGTTACCCATAGAGAAGCTTTGAACTAACAAAGTGGTTTTCTAACACATACACATTCACAGGAAGGAGTCAGTCAAGGGTTAAAAAGATCAGGCCACAGTAAGTAGGGATGCTACCTACTAATAGTATTACACATTGGCATTTAAAATTTTGCCCTTTTAAAAGGAAGTGATCTTTTTCTGAAGAAAAGCTTTCATCACTAATAATTATCTTCCTTTAGTCTTCTTTTCTTTCTTTCTTTGCCAAACCTTTAATAATACGTATTTTAATCAATTATAGTTTGATTAATGTCTTTATGTAAAATGAATCTTCCAATAATATTTTAAACACAAATGAGTCTGAAGATTGAACCTAGGGCCTTTGCACTAAGTTAGACACTCCTTTAAAAAAAAAAGTATTTTTTGAGACAAAGTCTCACAGTATCACTAAGTTACCCAGCATGGGCTTGAACTTCCAATCCTCCTGCTTTTGTCTCCCCAGCACTGGGTTTACAGGCATGCACCACCCACTGCCAGCTTTATTTTTTCCTTTAATCAGTATCAGTATATAACTAGCTCCTTGTTAATTAACTTGTTAAAAGTAAGCTGAGTTTAGACCTAGAGATGAATGTACTGGCATACAAAGAGCTTAACTAAAAAGTAGTTGTAACCTGTCACTCCAAACACAGCTTCACAAATGCATGCTTACAAATGAAGCTTCAGATGCCACAATTTAGCTCAGTGCCATAAGAACCTGCCTGGAAAGCACAAGGTCATGAGTTCAATTCCCTGTACCAAAAAAAAAAAAAAAAAAAAAAAGAAGATGCTACAAGATAACATTC